ACAAATTAGGCGGAGTTCAGGTGCAGCCGTAACAGCACCTGCTCTTCCACTCAAACCTAATAAAACTAATTCTAAATATACAAGAGAGAAAAAGAAAAGAAAAACGAAAAGAAATAAGAAAAGAAAAAGACCCGATGGTGAAATCATAATTAATTACTAAGCGTAAACTGCCCGATCCCTGTCGCCCTACAATGCATTCTGAATTTGAGACAAGCGGCCCTTCATTCTGTGACGAAACAACCTTAAAGAAGTGCTACATTTTATAGTTGATGGCAAATCATTAAGAATATGTGTTATTTGGTATGAAAAGCATTTCTTAAATAGCTGGTGATGATGGATCGGCGGGGTAAGAGTGCCCTTGAATCGAATATTCAAGGTGTGAACATCGGTACGAAATTTTATTCTATTGAACAAGTATGGAGGTTTCTTCAAACTAATTATATTAAAGAACAAAACTGCCGACTGAAGTATGCGCCTGTTTTTCATGTCGAGCCAACTTAAATCCTTTAATTTGTGCGAAACATGCTGAAAGCAAGCAAGAATTTTGAATTTTCTGATTTTTTTTCGTATTACTATACGAAATACACGGATCATACAATGTATCACAATAATTAAAATGCGATAATACCAAGGCATCGCACAAAAGCACCGTTCTTCTACGATTGAGCGATTGAACGACCGACCGCCATAAATCAGCTTAAGAGCGGCATACGCGGAAGCAGTGCACTTATTTATGTGTTTATTAAAGTTTAAATTTTCGTCCAATGAGACTCCCAAGTTTCTCACACAATCCTTCAGCGGCAATACTTGATTGTTGACAACTATCTTGACCCGGTCCCGAACACAATTGTCATTTATCACCTTTCTTGGCCCGAATAAAATCAGCTCTGTTTTAGCAGCATTCAGACAAAGGCAGTGACGCCTAAAAACCAGCTCCAAAGCCTCTATATCCGAACTCAGACCAAAACAAGCATCATCGACATCCGATGGCAGAAAAGATATATATAACTGGGTGTCATCCGCGTAGAAATGATGATTACACCTTTTTATGTATCTATTAAAATGTGATGTGTAAAGTGAGTATAGCATTGGACCCAAAATTGAACCCTGAGGAGCACCGGACGTTGTTGAAAGAACGCGACCATTCACCTTCACGCACTGCATTCTGCCCGACAAGTAACTGTACAAGAACCCCGATGCAAGATCATCAAACCCAATGTAGCGAAGTATGGCATACATCAAGTCATCATTGATAGTATCAAAAGCTTTTGAATAATCTAAGAGACACATCAAAGTCAATTTTCCTTGGTCTGTGCTTCGTACGAGATCGTCCACAATATTCGATAGAGCTGTATTACAGCCATAATGCTTTCTAAAATCTGACTGTGTAGGCGGTAAAAGGTTGTATTCCGTAACATAGTCCTTTAATTGTGATTCGATTACTCTTTCTGTAATTTTTGCCAATATTGGTAAAAGACTAATTGGTCTTTGAGGTGATCAACATTCGCTTTCTTTGGTAGAGGCAGAACCATGGACATTTTCCAACAAGTGGGGAAATGACCTACAGAGAAGCACCCATTTATCGAATGTGTAATAAAAGGCAAAATATAAGGAGAACATAGTTGAATAAATTTAATGTTTAAACCATCGAGACCCGCCGAGTTATTTTTAATACTGTGTATGACGCGCATCACGTGGTCCTCATCAACCCGCCTAAATGAGAATTCATTTACGATTATCCTATGAGTCATATAAAAATTATACATTTCATTGTCGCGTGGCAAATTGGGCAACGAGTTGATGAAGAACTGATTTATGGTATCAGGGTCAGCAAGATCGTCAGCAACGCAAAACGACCGCTTCGGAGCCAGCCCGATTCCCCTTAACAACTTCCAAACTTCCTTACTGTTTGCCCCACAACCGACTCTCTCCGTGTCGATTCATTAGTAAGATTTCGCAGTGATTTATAATAATCCCAAGAGGAATGCAGTCCATTCTTTTTAAATGCCCTA